GTCTTAAATTTGTCCTAGCCACTGCTGTAGTGGAGAAAGCAGTGGTGAAAAAGTGAGGGGCCAGATCCCTGTCCCTTGCTTCCCCTGTGCCTGTTCTTGTTCACCCTGCCATTTACCCCCACTACATTTGCCTCTCTACCCCTTGCTCCTGCTTTCTGGAGCAGTCAGCAGTGATGCCCCCCACCCAGTTCAGCCAGGCAGAAGCATTAGCAGTGGCAGGTGTGAGTCCAGCCAGGTTGGGGCCAGAGGGGCTGAAGCTAAGCAGAAGGTAAGTGTGGGTGAGGGCAAGTGCTGCGGTCTCCCCTGTGCTCCCCACAAGCCATACAAACTGGTCTCCTCTGCATGACCCCTACCACTACTGTGTGGTCTCCACTAGCTGCGTGCCCCCTCCTCTGTGCATGAGCCAGCCTGGCTCAGAGTAGGTGGTGGCTCAGTTTTGGCATTGGCTTTGAACAGTGGCTTGGCTGGAGCTGAGCCACTGCCTGCCCTGTGCTGGTACTTAATCTGATATGAAGCTTTTTTTTTCTCATGTTGTTTGGGGAAAAAACCTTGCCATGGATTTGAGTAAACATGGTAGGCTGTTGCCTCTCTGAATCAGTTAAGTCTTTAAGTTGTCACCCTGCCCTACCTTCACCCTACTGTATTAAGATAAGCTGCTGTTGCAGACTACTAGGCTAACCACCTACGTGGCTGTTGTGAAAAATACTGCAATAACAATTGCTAGCATGTCTAATGTGTGTATTGCTTTTACTGGCACAACCACCACCACTACTATGTTTCTATCTTTTTGCTGTACAGTACTACTTGTCTTTGAGGATAAAAGGTAGCCTCAAAATTTGGGTGGCTTTTATTCAGTTTGATAATTCCTCTGTGATTTTCTCTGAATGATAAACATGAATTGTAATAATGTAGCTGATTAGAAATGAAAAATTAACAAATACTGTTAGTTTAGGGTCAATAATGGACAATGTTTTCCAGGATGTATAACATTTTCCATTCTCTCTCTCTATCTCTCTCTCTCTCTTTCCACTCTCTCTATCCTTTTTACTTTTATGGGTTTGTATGTTAGATTTCCTAAATCAGGGGTGGTATTTTAAATGGCCAGTCATTATTAGCTGATGTATAACATAGAGCAACCACAGCTCATCTTAATATATTCATTTGGGAATAATGTGATGTTATTAAGGATTCTGTTACCATAGAAATTTTTTGAAGATCTTTCATAATTGATGTATTGTTAAAATGAAAAGTATTTAATGTATATATTCAGAGGGTTTCTGGTTGGGTTTTTTTTTTGGCCTGGTTACATTAAGCACATCTCAGTCTGTTGTTCTTATTCACTGAAAAAGTAGGTTATGATTCACTAATTTATTCTGTCTTTAAAATGGGGTTTAAAGGATACATTCCCACATAAACAAATTGTAATGGAAGTATATTTGCCAGTGGCACTAGGAAGCATGAAATAGTTGAAAGATCATGCAACCCTGTTATGTTTTGGCTTAAAGAGAAGATTATTTTTAATTGTGTTACTTGTCAACATGATTTGTTTTCAGATCAACAATGATCTGAAAGCAGGTTTTTTGTTTCCATTTAGGAAGCTATTGTGATAACTTGAACTTCTGTACACAGGTCTTGTAGTATTTTAATGCATTAGGCATACTGAATTTTAGAGACCTGTATACACTGAAAATATTTTCTTATAACAATTTCATATACTTCAAAAAGAAGTATTTTAGGTTATGCAAAAATGGTGATGCCCTATATTAAGGGATAGGTTCATCCTGTACTGTTTTATTAATTTCATTGGGGCCACTCAACCCACAGTTTAGCTCAGAATATAATCTATGGCATTGGTCTCCAAACTTTTTAAGTGGATCACCTTTTGGCATATAAAAGCAACCCCAGATCTACTGTGCACTGATTG